AGTTTATAAACGAGTTACATACTATACTCTATCTACGACGAACACAAAACAAAATTTAAGGCGAATTTTATTTGTTAAAAATTTGACATCTGTCAACTGTCACCCGGATTTAAACCTCACATTTTCTAAATTTATAATATAGTTAACTTAAAAGGCACTGTTGCTAACTTCAGCTCGGGACTAAAATGCCATAAAGCCACAGGTCGTCAATAGAGTAGTAGATAAAATAAAATATCAATAATTAATATTTAGGATTCATTACTTTTAAGTTAAAAAGTTAAAAGTTTTAACAATCAATATATTATACCTACGAAATATTAATGGTAAAATGTTTAGTAATGGTTATTTTACAGATCGTATACTTTTACAAAATGTTCTGGTTTTACAAATAAAGGAATAAATACATAAGTTTTGGGTTTCATTAAGAATAGATTAAAAGCGAATGTTAGAAAAAAAAATATTGCAAGAAATTTAAGTCAGATATGCCTTAAAAAATGTAAGTCGTTCTTTATTTTATACTTAAAATGTATTTTGCAAACGTTAAATCTGTCAATATTAATTTTTTCTTAGTGTTCTATATAAGATATTTAAAATAATAAAAACTCCAATAAAAATATTTACATTTATGTATGGTTGTTTTGCTAATTAGCAATATTAATATAAGTAAATTTTGTCAAAAATACCACATAAGTAAACAGTTTTACACTGGATTTAAAAAAGAAAAAATATCTAGTTAAAAAAATACTGGGAAGCCAATTATACTCATATAAATTAATTTGTATAGAAATAAATAAGAAGATTTTTGTATATTTATTATTTTTATATTGCAGTAATAATACTTAATAATATAATTATTCTAAATTATATAATAAAAGCTATAATTCTAATTTTATTATATTTATTACATTTTTATTGGGATAAATTATCAATAATAAACTTAAGATTCTGAGATTTTATGTAATCTTGAAGAACTTTTTAATAATTCTAAAGTACATTTTTTTAAATTGTGAAATTTTAGGGATAATTATAATTATTAGTATTATACTATATTATAGTATTTCAGTATTCCAGCAAATACTATACACGAACACTACTATGACAAGCCCGTAAATTTAAGGAACCACAAATGCAGAGTATTAACGAATATTTAAAGCTTGACCTTGAATCTAAAAATAGATTTGTTACGGGTAGAATTGGCAACACCACTGGGCTTTACAGCGATTAATCAGTATATATTTTTATACTAGTGGGCTTTTCAACGTATTAATAATATATGCTTGGGCTTTACAAGAACAAAAATGTTTCTACCGACAATCCTATAGGGAAATCTTTACCCCTCGTCTTTCCCCTCTATAGGTTTTTAATGATTTAAATGAGATAGAAGATAAGTATACACGCCTAAACCACTAGCAACTGCAGGGCTCCGAAGCGACCCATCCGTCTCCGGGCTTCAAAACATACCATTTATAGGTATATATATATATATATATATATAACTAAATAGCCGATTGCAACATACAAAATAAAGTCTTTTTTTAAATTTATTTATTGGGTAAATATTATTCAAGCTTGGTTTTGGAGCAACAAAATTAAAGTAGGTTATGATTTCTAACTTGCTGACACTGCCTATAATAATGTTTCGTAGGTTCTGGAAAAGGGTGGGTACAAAAAACTTACCTACTAAGTAATTTTTGTACATAAAGTCCATTCTCGTATTTTTTATGCGAGAAAGTGAATTTTCGTCTCTGCGATGTGTCTTAAATTATCTAACCCATCTTTATTCAATGCACGTAATTTCTTTTTTTAAATTAAGCACATAAAACAAAAAAGCTTATTGGTTACTGAACTCTATTGTAAGTTCGGCCTTTACCTGTGGAAGTGTAGTGTATTCGAATATTGGGAATATGTCTTCCTTTTTTCTTAATTAAAAGTTTATCTTCAAGGGACATCGGGCTTTTTAAAAAAATTTGGACACAACTTACTTCCGCTGGTGCAATTATTGTTAATAAAAAATAAAGTTTATTTAAAAAACAAAACACGTAATTCACTTAAAACTTAAAAAACAAAGGCGCGCGGCGACAAAAAAGTTAGAAATCAAACAAACTGACACAGATAACAGCTGAGCAGTTGAAGAGACACTGCGTTCGGTGCCCCAAATTGACGATATATTCGCGTACTGAGAGGATAACCTAAGATCACCGAATCATACTCGGAATAGATACATTTCAAACTGTGCCCCGGCGGCGCGCGCCGATCGAAGGAAGGTTTGAGGCCATCTTTAAATAGTAATTACAATGGTTACGTATAACTAAAATAATGCACAATGCAACAAATAACTTTTATTACTTTTTATCTGGGCGGTTGGGTGGGCACGTGTCCTTGTGCCGTTTAGAACCAGCCGCCACTGGTCATTTGCAACTTATAAACTGAACTGTCAAATTATCTTTAATGCTTTCAATGGTAGGTTACCATAGAAAAAAGTCTATGATCCCTACTATGATCAAAATTAGCAAACTTGAAAAAGTTTAAAATTTATAAATAAAACTAATTTTAGCTCCATATATGGCGATTTTTTAAAATAAATATGTAAGAATTGTATGTTGTATATTATACAGGGTGTCCCAGAACTCGCGCCACATAAAAAACCGGAACGTGCCAAAAGTAACGTGAAACACATATTTGAAAATTAAAATTGTCTAACGCAAAGGATAAGCGAGATAAGAATAAAAAACGATAGCCAATCCCAATAGATGGCCATAGGGAATTCTTGAAATTGCTAGGATACTTAGGTTGCATTGTTGATAATAAAAAATATGTAAAATATTTGGTCCACTGGAATCCAATTCATTGTGACACTGCTGTCAAACTCCTGTCATGAATATTATATTAGGTTATAAATTAAGTTATTATAAATAATGTTTTCCTTAGATGATTATACTGAAATGATAATTATTTATTTATTTAGTGTGGGCGCAACGCCAGGGAGACAACGCGAGTTTTTTCCCAGCCCTTTCCTAATCGTTATTTTAAAACATTGGCGTTCTGAAGTATAAGTCATAGATTAATAACCTCATTTTTGAAAGCTTTTGACAACTTAGTAAATACAGTTGGCCAAAAGATTTTTAAATATTTTTAATACAACAATGTTCTATCGTCTCCTAGCAATTTTTAAAGCTCTTACGTTTAACCTAGGCGAGAGCTCTCGGTATTGGCTGCCGCTTTTTTGCTCTCATTCGATTACACTATTACCTAGAAATTTTTTATTTTTAAATTTGGCATCTCCATTGCTATCGGCACGCCCCCTTTTTCTCTGGCGCGAGTTCTGGGACACCCTGTGTATAATATATAATACATTACCTTATAAAACTAGATAAAAGAATATATAATTTGTAAAACACGTTAGTACTATAGTATTATGATCTTTGAACTTAAAAATGGTATCTCTCGTAGAAATATAATTTGCATGTAGAAGTTTATCAAATAATAGTTAATGATCAGTACTTTAACGTGATATGCTCAAAATTATAATACAGCATTGCTTCTTCGACTTTTTAACCCTTAAAAATATAGTAAAATTTTAAATTAAATTGTCCCCAGCGTATGTATGTTAAAATATAAAAAAAAATACGTGGATTTGTTGCCACTAATAAGGTCTAAATTTTATCTTAATTTCAAATCGATACGTTTTTCAATAAAATGTTTTACAAAATATCGAAATTTATCTATTTTTAACACAGTAGAGTGATTTAAGGCCTGGCGTCAATTAAAAACAAATGTCCAAAATTTGTTTGATTTTTACGCGAAACCATAGTTAAAAGAGTTGAAAATTAACATTAAGCAAATAATTTAATGAATAATTAAGTATTGTTTTACTAAGTGAATTATTATTGGGTCGAATATAAAGTTATAAGTATAAAACTATTTTTGGATATAGAAATGTATTTTTTCCCTGTAGCCTACAACTTCCACTGACCACGTTTTATTCTATTAGCAATTATCCCAGGCAAATTGATTATGTTGCTGATAAGACACGTAAAATGAACATGTGCGTAGGCACAACAAAAACGACCCTTTAATTTAATTAAACGAATTATTAATGTATTTGCGGTTTGGCTCAAGGATAGGCCACGACCGACGTAAATCAACGGCCCAGGTAACGCATTAAACGTCGTACGTTGGGACCCTTTGCACATTCAATCCTGCCATGTCTATCTACCTACATATAATCTTGGGCACACAAAAAATATTTACAAGAAAATATTTACGTAGGCAGCTAAATAAATTGGGCAAACTTTACATAAACATTTCAAAATAAATATAAATTAATTAGTTTTGGAACCCCAGGGGTAAACTGTGTTTACTCACTATTTTTGATAAGCTTACCTAAGTTTTTCCTCTTAATGTACTATATTCAGAGAGCTATATCAGGTCAACACTTGGCCAAGAAAAGTTTTGCCAATAAATTTACAAAATAGGACTTATTATTCCTATGATTTTTGTGCAATCGCGATGGCCAACAATAAATGATCAAATTGTGCCCAATAATATGCAAAAGCAGTTTGGATTAAGTTAGGTTTAATTTTGGGAATGTTTAGCGCATGGAAAAACCATGACAAATGTTTGATGTTTATTTGGGCAAATATTGAAAAATTTACCAATAACATGATATTGGTAAATATTTGAACAAATCCAGAGTATTTACAAATAATATAATTTTATTAAAAAAATATTACTAAAAAAGCTTTTTCTCGTTTACATTAAATTCTATTAATTTTTTGAAGTAAACTTAATGAAAATGCAATTTATAAATGTTAAATATCGTACACCAAACTTAGTTGAGAAAAAGTTGACTAATTTCTTTCCCAAGCCATGGTTCTCTGGGTATAGGGTGTTTCATAATAGCAACGTAATCGAAATGGTCTGTATGATTCTAAAGAACCAAGTTTCATCCAAAAGTATACCATGAAAGATGAAAGCTTTAATTTTGTTCTATTTTCCAGGTTTTGTACCGCGGCCACACCTACAACCCTGGAGTGGAATACCGCTACTCCATCTGGAAACCAGAGACCACCAAACAACTCAAGTACTCCTGGATCATGGGCTTGTGGTCGCAATGTTCAAAAACATGCGGAGGAGGCGTCCAGCACCGCGAACCGCTCTGTCAAGAATCAACGGTGGCCACGGTGGCATTCGACTTGGAAAGTCCCACCATGGTGGACGAGTACATGTGCGAACCTTCAGAGAGGCCCAAAAAGCTTATGAGGACCTGCAATGATGACCCATGCCCCTATCATTGGTGGGTAGGACCCTGGCAGTCCTGTCCCGTCACGTGTCATGATGACGTAAGTTTACAATGTTTCATGATTATTTTGAATCTTTTGTTTTGACATTTAATCATTTAGTAACGTCGTGTTGTATGTACAATTGGCGTCCCCGAAATGTCTTAAGCTCTTTCCAAGAATTTTCAACAGCATTCCTTAGTTCATTTCGGTTTGCTGGCCTAAAGTCCCGTTGATATAATTTTGTAACTATAAAACCCCACACGTTTTCAATGGGGTTTAAGTCAGGACTTCTAGCTGGCCATGGTAAAACAGTTATGTGGTTTTTGTTTACCCACGCGAGCTGTGTGAACTGGTGCATTGTCCTGTAATATAATATTTATCAGAATCATTTTTGTATACTATACAGTTTTCTAACATGTTGGAATATAAAATTTTCTGGAAACACATGTCTAACTGAAGGTAGCATAACGTTGTCCAAAATTTTCGTCGTTAATCTACCATACATTTCCGAACATATTCCCGCACCATGGACGCTTATCCACGCCCAAACATTTATGGAAAAGCGTCCACTATTTGAGGTTCTTAATGTGTAGTTCTCCTCAAATTATGTGTCTCTTGGACGATATACATGCAGCCTTCCATTAGTGCAAGATTGGAACGTTTTTTCATCAGAAAATATAACATCATTCAAAAATTCCTCTCCGTAATTTAGATAGTCATTGGCGAACTGGACTCTCCTGCGCTTATTTTCGTCAGTTAAAAAACCTTATGAGCAACAGCACAGTTTTTTAAGCCAGCTTGTTTCAATCTTTTTTTAGCTGTTCGAATAGATCCTGGAAATTGTGTATCTTCTCGGGCCTTAACTGCGCTATTGAAAGGATTTTGCCTAATATGTGCGACAAGAGCATTGTCTTCATTTTCGTTCCCTGATAGCAAAATTTGATTCTAAGAATCTTCTAAGAAGATATGACATGCAGGGGCGTGCTGGGCCGCCGGGACACCGGGCGAATGCCCGGTGGCCTGCGCTACCATGGTGGTCTGCTGGACTTGTTATGGTATGCAAATAGAAAAAAGATTTTTATACCAAACAAAAAGTTTTTTCAAGTTATATTATTTAACACTAAATATAAATTAAAAAAAAGAAAGTTTTAATTGACTTTCGTAAAATAATCTAAAACACGTATTTTTTATGCTAACCCTTAACCAAGAAGTCGCAGGTGGAAACCCTAAAGCGTGGGGATATTTTGGATGTTTCCGTAATTATTTTTCCGTTTCTTTGGAAATCCAAACTGATCCGGGGCCACTTCGATAAAATGCAATTTTAGTAAATTTATAAATTATCGGTAGGGGGGATCAGCTCGGATTTATAGAGAAACAGAAACAACTTAATTACAAAAGCATCAAAAAAAGCCCCCTCTCGCAGTTTTTATCTTGATTTATTTGTGATAATACTTTCCTTTAATATCAGTGTAAAGTGGCGTAAATTTGGAAGCTTTTATGCTGATTGCTGTGGAGAGAAAGGTGCAAAATGGTTTAGATTGTGACTTAATAATTGAACTAGCTGAAAACAGTTCTTTGTTGCGAAGAGAATTATCACGGGACGTTTTAACAGTCGTTGTGATGTATTTTTACAATTTATATGAAATTGGCTTGGGCCTGGACTGCTCTACCATCTAGTCCAGGCCTGCATTGATTCAGCCAGCACGCCCCTGATGACATGGAATAATGGAATATTCTTAGAACCTTCCCTTATTGCTAAGAATGTTTTTAGGGACTTAAAACATTCAATAGATACCCTTTTAATGATGCAATTAGATTCTTAGAAGCTTCTTAAAACCTTCCTAAAAAGCAATCTAAGAACATTTTAAGAATACGTTTTTGGAATGTTCTTAGAAGGTTTCTTATGGAGCTTCTAGGAAGCTTTTGAGAATATTTCCAAATATGTCAGATACCCACGTTCTAATATGTTGGATTCTACATTCGTAAAATTCTTCAGGAGGCGACAAATACTCATAATATGACAGTGAAATGTACTTGTCGTCCCCTAAAAAAATTTGCGACATATTAATATATATTTATTTAAAAATATTAAATAAACAATTTGACCTCTGAACCATAAGTTGTATGACATTATTTCATAAAAAGTAAAATTGGAAAATTTTGTGGGATAAGTCAGATTAGATTGAAGTTGAAGATAGTTAGGATTATTATACATAAAAATGTTAATTCAGAAATAAAAAATCGGTATACAAATTAATAAATATTTATTTTTAACATAAAATAAAATATAAAAAACCAAAATATTTTCTTATAAAATAATTCTTCATAAAAGAAAAAACCAAATAGTTTTTCATAAAAAACATTTTTCATTGTATTTAAGTTGGATAGAAGATTTTATGTAAAAGCCGGATAATTTAGATACCTATAGTAAAAGTATTTTTGTTATCGAATATTGTTTTAATTTGACAAATAACTATAAAAAAATTTTGGGTTGTGTTTTTTACTTAGTATCTATAGGTACGTTTATACGTTTATACGTAGATAATGATATATTTTACTATTATATAGGTACCTAACTGAACTGAATATGCTTAACAGAATGTTCCAGGAATATTCCTAAATGAACTTTCTATAGCAATTACTTTCTCAACATTCTAAGCATATGTTTAGAGTGGATTAATTTTTACCACTAAACTTTGAACCTGCCTATAGGCCAGTGAGAATATTCTTAGGATTATGCTATATTTCTTTTAAGCATGTTCTCTAGAAGAAATATAGCATGATCCTAAGAATATTCTCACTGGAAAGTTTAAAAACATTCTTAGAATATGACTAGAAGAAATATAACATGATCCTAAGAATATTCTCACTGGAAGGTTCAAAAAACATTCTTAGAACATGACTTGAAGAAATATAGCATGATACTAAGAATATTCCTACTGGAAGGTTTAAAAAACATTCTTAGAATAAACTGTGCTATCAGGGTTGGAGATTTTACCTACACCTTGCCGGATAGGTCTTCTTAATATATGTTGTTCTTGCCAACGTTTCTTGATATAAATTATGCCCTGGACCTCTGAGCCTCAGTTAAGTGGGGTGGCATTTTTGATATTGCAATTGACAACTATTATCAAATTTGACAACTACCGAAGACACTGATGCCCATATTACTCGATTCAATTTTGCCGTTCACATTTCGGGGACGCCAATTTTACCTTTATGTAGAAAAAAAACAGGTGTATGATCAAACAAGTAATAAAATCGATAAACCCCTATCAAACAAGAAAACAAACAATCCAATGCGTATTTTATTCAAGCAGTCCTTAATCTCTTTATATAAGAGACAACGATACCCTGGTAATTGGTTAGATTTATCTATATATAGTTCGGTCGAGATCCCATCTTGTTCTCCGGTGTAAATATTAATTGAAGAGGTCCTTCAATACTTAGCCGACGAAGTCGTGTGAGAAGGACGACGAAAATTTCAACAGTTAATGAGGAAGTGTAAGGGCAATACTTGTCCTTAATGTCGGTCAGATACGCTTTGAATGCTGATAGTAAAAGGATGAGAGACTTAATTAAAAAGCAATATTTTTTTATATAATATAAAAAATATAAAATATACATTTTAGGAATAGGTACCTACTTAAAAAATTTGTATGTTTCTTAAGTACCTTTTCCCAAAATGTATATTTTTTTAATTAATATTACTTATATACAGGGTGATTCCAAATTGAGGTAAAAAAATTAAATAGACGATTCTCCACAAGACGAAATTTCATATGGGTAAATTTCGAGATACAGGGGAAGTGATATCAACTTTGTTATTTCAAATAGACCTTATACATTTTTACATTTCTTAATTCTACATACAATTTTGAGTAAAATTATTTTACCATGTCCTATACCTAAAGCGAATGGCGTCAATCTTTCAGGTTGTTTATAAAAATGAATTATTTAGTCAAAACTGACTAATTTAATGGTTATTAGTGGCTGCTTTTTCACTTGTACTCTGGTTAACCCTGGAATACCATAGTATTAAAAAATTGAACAGCTAATTATTATGTTAAATTATCCCCTGAATCCGAAAATGTCGTCAAAAGTTAAAAAAGTGAAACAGTTTTTGAGATATAGTCAATTTTCCATTTAATATGGAATTGACTATATTTCAAAAACTGCTCCACTTTCATAATTTTTTATCGTATTTTCGGACTCAGGGGACAATTTTACATAAGAATTGGCTGTTAAATTTTTTGATACCATGGTATTCCATGGTTAACCATGGTATAAGTGAAAAAGCAGCCACTTATAACTATCAAATTAGTCATTTTTGACTAATTCATTTTTAGAGAGTAAACAATTTGTTGACTAATTAAGTTTTGTAAGCAAAATGACTGATTAAAAATTGCAATCAGTGGCATATAAAAACGTTAACAAGCCAAACATTTTTAAAATTAAAAAGTAATACAAACAGTATTTGCCAATTTTGAAACAAAAAATCAACAAAGCCGAATATTAGGGTGATTCAAAAAAACTTTTTTGTTTTTTTTCTCGGAATCTCGCTCAAAAGTTTCGTATAGATATAAAAATGACCCTGTGAAGAGATGAGCTCTTAATTTCAAAATTAAGATGCTCCGCATCGCACTTTTAAATTTTCCATTAGAATGTTTGTAACTAACGAACGATAGGTCGTACGGTAAAGTTATTGACATATTTTTGTAGATAATTGGACGCTCTACCAGAAAGGTTTTCTATGATTTTTTGATATATTTGAAATCAAAGTTCAAATTATACGAAATTTTTGGGTTTTTTAACTTTTTTGGCGAGTCTACCCGACTCATTTAAATTTTTAGTAGAGAATTTTATTTTTGTAAAGAATTGAATGCTCTACAAAAAAGGTCTTTTTCGGTAAGTTAACTTGGTTAAAAGTTATTCAAGGTTAAGTTTTTTGGAAAAACTTCTGTTACAATTTGATTGAGATAACATTTTCAGAAATTCCAGAAAATTTTAAAAAATGTTATTAGGAGCAATATTTTTGCATGACTCGGGTAGATTCGCCAAAAAATTAAAAAATAGAAAAAAGAATTACTGCAAGCTATTTATGGAACTTCCTGCTACTTTTGGCTGAAATCGTTTAAAAATATTTCTACTATACAATTTTGGAGCTTTTCGAGATCGTAATATCGATAGTTATGTTTTTTCGAATTTCCAGAGCTCAAAAACAATATTTTCCTTCGTTTTTAGTCCTTTGAACTCAAAAATCTAGTGTTTTCGAAAAAACGGCTAAATTGACGGTTCATTTCACTTTAACCTTGAATAACTTTTAACAAAGTTAACTTACCGAAAAATGACTTTAGACCTTTTTTGTAGAGCAAAAATATTAAAAAAAAAATTAAATGAGGCGATTAGACTCGCCCAAAAAGTTAAAAAACACAAACTTTGACCTTAAATTACTTTAGAAGGATCAAATTTATCAAAAAATTATAAGTCAGATTTTTTGTAGAGCGTTCAATTCTCTACAAAAATATGTCAATAACTTTACAGTACGACCTATCGTTCGTTAGTTACAAACATCAGAAGAAAAAAAATAATTTTTCCTGTAAAAACATACAGGGTGTTACATTTAAAATGAAAAGTTATTAACGTTTTAAGTTAGCCTAATTTGCAATGGTGTTTCTCAGGTAATTTGTTGAGATATGTTAAAAAATTGTCATGAAATCTTTTAAACAATGTTTAAAGATTTCACCCTTATATCCGCAAACATAATAACGACAAGGTTATAAGCTATTTTTGATTAGAAAATTCACCGAAAAAAATTAATAATTTGAAAACTATTCAGTTTAGGTATAGGACATGGTTAAGTCATTTGGACATGGGCCACAAACGTAAAACACCCTGTATAAAAACGACAAAAACAAATATTTTAGTATAAAGTTTTTAAAATTATTTTAAATTTAAATTTAAAATTCAAACTCCTGGTACTATAACTTTACCGTGATTTTTAAACGATTTAAAAACTTTAAAAAATATGATCATCAACTAAACACAGATGTTGGATGTTAAACCACATAATTGTTCGTAAAATGTTTTATGAAGCACCGCGTATTTATGTAAATTCACAACTTAATAATAATAAAAGAAGAAATCTGGTTCTTTATCCAAACTATTTTAAAGAAATCTTTTATAGATTTTATCCTGCACAATGCTGCTCTCTGTTTCAGGGTGATCCTGCTAGGCGCCGCAGAAGCGTGATGTGCGTAGACGGCCAGGAGATGGCGCTACCAGACAGTTTCTGCGACAGAAAGGCCAAACCTTTCGAGTATCAACCCTGCAAGGCAGGACTACCGCCCTGCGAGCAGGATAGAAAATAACAATGGGCATCAAAAATTTAACTGCTTAATTAATTTATACTGTTAGATTACTTTGTAAATTTTGTCTCGTTTTTTATGTTTAAAAAACTTTTTAAATTTATAAAAAAACATCTTTATCTCCTTGTATAATTTTTTCAAGCTTTTCCAATTAACTTAACTTTATAACTTAATTTAAAAAATATATAAGTACTAGTTTTTAATCATTAGTACATACTTAATAATATTAAACAGAATAACACAGGTTACCCAAAGTCACAATTGGGTTGAACAAAATTATGTGTCGTGACTATTTCTTTACTTTGTATTTTGTACCTCAGAGCCAAACTATACGAAGTCCATTTTTTTAAAATGACATTAAACATCCTGGCGTACTTAATTTTTTATTTATCAAAAACTCAGTACTTAATCCTGTTTATAATTGGAAAGAGTGGAAAATCGTCTAAAAAAAAAGTAACTTGATTTTTGAATAGTGGACTGGGGTACAGATTTTAATAATAATATAATATATTATTATATTTGTTATGAAAATTATATTAACATTTAAAATAACTACTATTAAATATTAAAATGCATTTTTATTTTCATATAAATTGATCCCACTTCAAAGTTCATAAATTTTTAATGGGCTAGCTATAACATTTGGATTGTACAAATTTCAGTTAACTGAATTAAATATTTTTCCACTCCCACTTTTATAATGCCCATTATCGTACATGTTTCTATGACACTAAGTGACTTTTTAAATACACATTGAAAAGTTTTGCGTTTTAGTCACGGGCTAAAGTTAGGATCAGGTTTTTGTTAACGGGCTGAAGTTAGGTTTAAGTTGTTTGACAGTTGTCAAATGTCATACAATCGTTAAAATAAACACTTGATACGAGATAATAATGTGGAAATTATTTTATTACCTTAATACAAAAGTATTAAATAGTTTCTCAAAGCCAATACCTATTTAGAAGTTTATACAGGGTGGAACAAAAGTATCAAATAATGGCTTTAACTTTTTTATTCGCAAAGTTAAATAAAAAGTTCAATATAAAATTTATTTGGTTTATTAGCAAGCATGTTTTGAGTTTTTTAGTTTGTTGATATCTTTTTTTATTTTGTTTTTATGGCCACAATTTTTTAATTCATTATAAAAAAGCATATTTTTCTCAATTCATTTAGAAATTTTTGGAAAAAAAAAACAGGCGAGAAAAAATATTTATTACGACTCAATCACAAATAATTGATTAATTTCACAACACTAAAATTTAGATAAAATTAAGTATTTAAAGAGTGACAAAGGTAAGCTAAAAACAAAAAAACTATAACAATAATTCTATATTAGATTTAAACGGTTGTTAGGCCATTTTCAATGGATAAATTTCGATTTACACATACAAATTTGACATTTCGCGCGCCGGTAATACAGATTCCCAAGTCAGAAATTTTTACTTTTTTTTTTATCGATGTCGCCCTATACAAATATTTAATTTAAATAATTTTTAGATAATAATAAGTATTTTTTTGTAAGAAAAGTTTGGTATGCAACTCATTTATAAAATTTTCTAGACACATTTAATTGAACACTCGCTCACAAGCTCGCTCGTGCCTGATAAAAAATGGCGTATATCAAACTTGATACATAATATAAAATGGTTAAAATAAACAACTAGAATTTATGAAGTTTATTTGTTGTTCTTTGGTTATTAATTCTATAGTTATGTTTTGGCAGACATACTGCCGATAATAAAATCTAATAAGGGTAAAGGACATCCTTCAAAGTTGACCCGAAGACATACATTTTCATAATCCAGGCCGTAATCCGCCTCTTCAGCTCTGAAACACAAAAAACTATAAAATCTTTTATTCTTTCATATTTATTAGGTTTGTTGTTAGGCTAAAGAAAGCAAATGTTCCTATTATAAAAACCTTAAGCCTCACCCTCATTCATTTTTAATAGCGAATGCGGCGTTTTAAATTTCTTTTTTAGCAAAAACACACACAGACAGTACGGCTTACACATGGACTGCTTTATTTACATGTTTGCAATACACAACAAGGTCCATAGTAAATTTTAAAGGAAATGACGTACACGTCATCGATGACGTCATAATTTTGCGTACTGGTACCAATACTAAATGTATAAAACGATGTCTGTAATTAAATATTTTAATGCATTTTAAACAACTTTAGTTGGCAGCAATTGCAATGTTGTCATGTTTACATTAAAATGACGCATAGAAAAAGAAATTGACGTTTTAGAATTTCAAAGCTGCCAATTGTGTTTTTAAATATTTCGTTTAATTCGTGTATATTTCTTGTTTGAGTTATTTTATATTATTTAAGTTTCCATTGCTGTTTTTTATACTTATATCGTTTTTTTGTTTTTCCTTTATTTAAAATGCCGAAGCATTTAAATAGTCGGAGTCAGGAGTTGGTATCATCCTTAATACGCTATTTTGAGGCAGAACGGGATAATAATGCACCTTTGTTACCTTTAACAGCTGTTAGAGAGGTAAATAGGATTATTATTAATTATATATTAGAATATTTAACAAAATATATGTTATATATATATACCAGAGACTAACACAATTTCTGTGTTTTATAGCTAAAAATGTTTTTAAAAATGGCTAAAAACATACTTTTATATATATATATATATATATATATATATATATATATAGGTTATAAAACTCTGACTTTTGACATTTTGGTATTCTAAGGTCCCAATTCTAGGGACCCTATGGTATTTTTCATGTAAACTCCATCTATCGCCCTGTAGTTGCACTACACTTGATGCAATGATAAATTTACTATAGTTGTCGCGGCGAATGTTTTAAATTCCGAACCAAGCACAGACATTACAATTATTAGCTTTGTTCGCGGAGCCCATCCATGACTAGTTCCGTATCTGTATAGGATAAATAATCACGAACCATGGTACGCATGCGTGATTCGGAACCGATCAAGAATTAACAAATCTCCGCGAACGCGTTTCTAACCACAACCATCAGTCAGCTGTTTTGTGACAAAACTTTTTGGGGAATCTCCTTCCTGATAATTATAGTATTCAGAATTGCTAAATCGCTCTGCTAAAACATCAACAATCTCTTTGCTAACTCGAAAATGCTCCCTAAATAGCTGATCATTGAACATGGGAACAATTTCTTCAAAATATGCAGTATTTTTAGGAACTTTAATTAAATCTAAACTATTTTCTAAATCTTCATCACTGGATGATAGATGATCACTCTTCTATAAAATAAGCAAGGAAATGAACAATGCAAGTAAAAAATAAGTATTTCAACTTACGTTTTCGTTTAACAATTTAATTAAAAACAATATAGAACATATAACCTAAAATAAACTTTAAACAATAATGAACAATACGCATGTCTGACAGCTAGTACATGCTAAAATCCTCGGATCGTTTTGACTTGTCAGTAATTAGTTCGAAACTGGTCCCGAAGGCTCCGCGAACGAGTGATCAAATGTCAAATGTTGCCGATTTTTACACCGCGAACGTTAAAATTGCCGGTGCGCATGCGCAGTTGTCGCGGATTGATCACGGATGAGCTCCGCGAACAAAGCTATTGTTGTTTTCTTTTACGTATACAAGGTTAACAGGGCCGTAGCGACGGACTCAGGGGCCCCGGTGCAAAACTTTAGGATAGGATAGGATATCTAAAATTACGATTTTTTAGTAAAACTTTTTAGTTTTGGGGGCCCCTTTGAGGTCGGGGGCCCTGGTGCACCGCACCGCCTGCACCAGCCTCGCTACGGCCCTGAAGGTTAAGCATATGTCGAGAAATCGGTTTTTGACATTCGATATTGATGACGCAATTTGAAACATTCGCCGCGACGACTAAATATGTAAAAAAATTGTTTTTAAATTTGTTAGATGGAATACTAAATCCATTGAGTAAGATGTCTTACTCAATGCTAAAACTTTTTTAAATATACCATCCTTGGAAATTTCTTACTTCAAAATGGTGTAAAGTATATCCTGCACCATCGATTTTCCTTTGTTAAATTCCAACTGTTTGGATTCGCAGACCATTCGGTGAATGCAAGCTGTACCGTTTATTCCATTTCTAAAATTAAATAACTTAATGAAAATCGCAAACAAACGGAATTGGGTTTTGGCAAGTTAGTTAGCAGATTTAGATTGAAATTTCAGCTACACAGAAATCTAAACTCTTACTTATTAAGAACCCCATTATATGAAATAAATACTATTTCTTCAAAATTACTTTTTTATCGATTTATTAGCAAATCAAATCACTAAGTTACCGCGGCAGTTCTGATAAAGAAAGTGGTATAATAATGTGTCAAATCGGATAAATTATTACCATAGGCGTCCAAAACAGGGTCTAATTTTTCATAGATCTTCTAGTTTTCGAAAAATCCAGGTTTATATCTTATGGATTCACAAGCATTTACAACCCGCGGCATTAATTCCTTAACGTTATAAATTAAGACTGCACACACCAATGATTTTAAATATCCCCACACACAGAAGTCGATAGCATTTAAATCTGGAGAACGAGGAGGCCATAGAATTGGCCCTCCTCGTCCAATCCATCGGACAGAAAAATGGGGTGGGGAGCCATCATGCACGTGATTAAGGAGGGTTATGAAAACGTTTTGGAGAAAATACAAGTATGTTTCACCGTTCAGTCGATTTGGTAAGACACACAGCAAACGGAAAAATAGTGTATTGGATGACGCCACGTTTGAATACAGTTTTTTAAACTGACTAGAAAAAAAGGTACCCGGTTTCTTGATCGGGACCCACCTTGTCAACATGGACTCCATAGTGGATAGAATTTCATTTCTTTCCAATATTGAACGACGCTTTACCAATTTGTTATGTTTAAATATCCTTGTGTCACTTGGTAAGGCAAATGGATAATCTAACTCTCCCAGCATTTTCCATCCCTGTGGCTGCACCAGCAAAAAATTGCTTACTACTGCAAATGATAACTAAAACAAAACACAGGTGTAAACAT